ATATATAGCTGATTCCCATATATATAGCTGACAACATGTCTATAAGCTTTTAAAAAATGTCAAGATCTATATCATTTAAAACGAACGGGAATCGAAAACCACAAATTGGATTTTTAATTTTAAACCTATTTCCATTTTTGAACGCATACGGAAAAGGAAATATTTATTCGCTGCGAAGCACTTTTGGAAGAAAATAGAATAAATATTTGTGATGAAAATTGTTCAGCACTTGTTGAAAAGTAATTATTGTGTGTCTGGTTGTAAATACTTTGGTATTTTAATATTTCTATTTACTTCTTCCAACCCGATGGAAATAATGCTTTCCCAAATTAATTAATAATTAACAATTTTTACGTTTTTTCTAGGCAAGACAATAACATATCATATAACAAAGTATGCTTTATTATTGAAATCATTATATTACATATCGACTATATATAGGTTTAATGTACATTTGTATTGTACTATATATGAAGAACAGAAAGCTCAAGACATGGAAACTTATTTTGAGAAAACTCTTGCAGCACAAATTGTCTATAAATTATCTGTCTATTAACATAAAAGAAATACTTGTATTTGTTGGTGTTTTTGGTTTAATTTAATTCTGCTTGCCCTGCTATTATTAATTATTTTTTATAAACTATTACTACTGAATGAAGCTATTTTTAACAATTATTCTCGTGGATCTGAAACAGCTGAACAAGAAGCTAAAATTATTTTATGGTTTTAAATTTTTATATAATTTATATAAAATATGATCTGCAACCATTCCGACACTGCTGTCTTATTAGTCAATTTCACAAGTCAAGTTCTCTTTTTTTCTGTTTGCAATGCTGTTAAACAACGTGAAAACAGATGTCTTGATGTTTAAAACAAATGTAAAAAGTACTATACGCATGCCTACTGTACATAAAATGCAAAGGTCAAAGACACCGGGCAATTGACATAATTTACATACGAAATGCGTGACCTTGCCGATAAATGTGGTCGACGGCAAAGGGTCATTTAAAGGCCCACACACGTACACACACATTTACTCAGAAACACTCACAAAAATGCATTTAAGCTCAGCACTGCTGATAGAAAAATACAAAATAAAATGCCCATGCGGTCTGTGAATGAGAAGCGAAGGGCTCGCTTCAATTAAAGCGAAAAGCAGACGAAAACAACAAAATCTGAAGGTGTTAACGTTTTACACAATTTGTTGACCAAATTTGTACTTTTCTAGCATTATGCGAGTATGTAAGTCGGCACAATGTGGGCACAAGGCGGCTAGCCGTACATACGGCGCCTCTATTCAAAACTGCCGCCGGTTGGACATTGATGAACGAGGGCACTGGAAATTTGTGGCCATAACTTATTTAGAGAGAGAGCGCCAACTAGCCAACTAGTCGATGCTCGTTTTTATCAACGCCTGTGATACAATTTGACAAGCGAGACTTGAGTTTTGTAGCTGAAGTGAGGTGTGGAAAGATTGCAGTTGAAAGCGAAGGCGAAACCAGATACGCCTTCAAGTGGTTCCAAGCGAAGCAGACGAGCGATTGGCCATCAGTTCCCCGTCCCCATCTCCACTCACTCCACTCACTCCACTTCACTCCACTCAGACGAGTTGCAAATTGTCGCCTTTGGCTGCGGGCAACCGCCTTCACCGCTTCTCGTTCCAATGTCCAAGTGCAAAGGCGTCAACTTGCATTCGATGAATTCCAATCACACGCATATCGTTTGCCATTTTGCACAAATAAATATTGAGGGCATCCACAGCCAGACAATATACTATATGTATTTACAATAAAATTGATTAAATGGGATTAAACAACATTAAAGGGAGTAGTAGAAGAGTAAAGGAGTGCGAAAACTATTAGAACAATCAAACAGCCATTTGAAAACATATAGACATTATATTTTTGAAAATAATATCAAGTCTACAAAACTCTTTTACAATAAAATTGATTAAATGGGATTAAACATTAAAGGGAGCAGAGTGAAGTAGTTCAAAACTCTGAAACAGCCATTTGAAAACATGTGGACATTATGGTTTTGAGAATAATATCAAGTCTACAAAACTCTTTTACAATACTCTATTAAATTTAGTTACATTTAGTTTATTTATGCCACCTAGTTTACGCATTTCTGCGACTAAAATATTTATATTTAAACAAATTGTAAATTGGTAAAAAGTGCAAATGAATTTTATTATTTAAACAAATTGTAAATTGGTAAAAAGTGCAAATGAATTTTATTATTTAAACAAATTGTAAATTGGTAAAAAGTGCAAATGAATTTTTGTTTGAAAAGAGGAAATACATTTTTACAATTAAATGGTTTTTGTTGTTGTTTGAATATATGTATTTAAAAGAAAAACAGTATCCAGCTCTGGACTACTTTAAGATAACCTTTCAATAACAGCTTTTTGATATGGTCATCTGAAATGGTCGGTCCTTACAATTTATTTGCGAACATACAGAAAGCAACCGAGATTTAACCTTATAGCCCCTACAGTGTGTGGGGAGTTGTGATTTAAAAAAACCTGACAGGTGGGCATTAGGATCTTCCTTTCATCTTTATGGATGTTACAAAGCTTGCACAAAAGTATAAAACTGAGCAATGAAAATTCTCGTTTTATAACTTGTTGTCGAAGGGTAAACTTCAATCTAGGCATGACTATGCAAAACATATAAAATGCCATATTAGAATGATTTTTATTTATTTATAGTATTAGCCATTTATCACTTCGTTGTGCCATTACGTTTTAACTGCCAGCTATACAAACAAGTATTTCCTTTCGCCAATTCTTTGGGTTTATGAGCAACACTTTCACTGTTAATAAAACTATTTAAAATTATTTTTTATTTTTTTTTTAATGTACCTTTTGTTTGAACTTAAATGGCTTTTCTCACCTCATCCTATGGGTCCTCTAGTACTGTGATATTTTGAGCGATTTCTCTCCAAAATCGCTCGCAAAGTACTTAAACATCAATCAATAGCGAATTTCCCATGCGCTCAAAGCGATTTCAAAATCATAAATCATAAATGTTAGGCTTAGACCCACGCCGAACCACACCATAAATCTCAAGATTCATTAAGTGCAACTGAAAATTACGCGCGAATGGTGCTCGTAGCTTGAAAGCTTTAGATACCTATGAACATATATAGATACAAATACCTATGTATATACAAACATATGTATAAGTACATATATAGTTTTTTTTATTTACGTACAAATATGGTTGAGTTAGCTTCGGGTTCTGTTTTTGGCGCGCTTTCGTTGCCCAGCCTCTTGTGCAGGCCCCAAAACCTTGTGCGACCTTCAAATGGTCAACTCCACTTTACACACACACTCACACACACACACTCGCACACACACTCGATCACATGCGATCACGCCACTTCGCTTCGACAGCCCCACGAGAATGCGGCGTTGTTGCCAAGCTTCTTGGCTACATGTTGCTGGTCAGTTGGTGTTGACGGAAATGTTGCCGAGCGGATGAGCACAGGAGAGAAGCTGACGTTGAAGTTTACCTGAAGGCTGAACTGCCAAGAAGAAGCAACAAGAAGCAGCAACAACAGCGGTTGCGACCCGCCTCGTAACATGTTTTATGCATCCGCAGCAATACAAAAATGTATATTCGCGTATATACATACATATGTACATATTCAAAGCGGGCAATGTTAAGGAAAACAACAACAGCAAAATACTTTTAAAGGCTGAAAACTAAAAATGGCGAAGGTCGTTCAAAGGCAACGCAAAACTTTCATACCCTTTTCCCCTAAATCGGCTGCTATGATTTGATTGTCTTGTTTGTAATGCCCAAGAACTTGTTTCCTTAGATTAGTCTCTATTAGGGCTTTTCCTTAATTAAATGGAATATAAACTATCACTTTATATGCGGATACGGAAAATACAGATTCTTTCTGCAGATTAAAATGTGGATCACATTTCCAAAATTGAAGATTAATATGTTTTAGTAGATATGTAAGCCTATTAAAGTTCTTAGACATTATTTCTGTGCGTATACTACAAAACGCCAATTCTTTAAAACAGTTGTTGTTGAAAACATATTCTGAATAGAATAAAAATAAAGTGAAAAGAGTGCTTTTAATTATTAATCGAGGAAGTTCGGATCTGGAGTTCGATTGAATTGTGCAGAATAGAAATGATCATAGTAAATTATTTGATATTCGAAAGTCGATAAAGGCATTTGGTTTTAATAATATTTCCGGTTTCTTATAATTCGATAAAATTCGGACACTGTTAGATAATAAGATTTCCAAATAAATTTGATCGAAACGGAGTATTATTTGATAATTGTTAATAATAAAAAAACACAAATATGAAGCAAAAGCGAATTCCTAAACTATTTAAAGCTTTTCTTTTTTGGAACAGGAAGATTACGGTTGAAATTCAAATCGTTCTTTAAAGTAATAGTGTATTAAGCCTTCGAGTGACTAAAATTTCTTTTTTTGTTGGTTTCTTGATGGGATTGTTTTTGGTTTCAATGTTTATGTTTCGCCTGAAATACAGTAGTAGACCCGCTGAGATTTATCCGCGAGCCTGAACGACGTTGATAAGAGTCACCTAATTGCTCCTGAATCTGAAATGGACATTAACAGCGCGATTTACGTATATACTACAAGTATATACTGAACATATATATACATATATACTTTTAATTTCCACAATGTTCCCATCATAAAAACAGCAATTGTCGACTGGTTTCCATTTTGGCAACGTTGCTCCGTTTCTGTCTGTCAGTCAGTCAGACAGTCAGCCTGCCAGTCAGTCAGTCAGTTAGTCAGACAGTAATTTTCTTCTTTTTTGCCATCTCACGTTATTTTGATTCCATTTCGTTAACATTTCATTTGGGGAGTTGGAGTTGATGTTGGCCAGCAGCCGCCTGCTTGTCGCTTACCTTGGTATTTGGGTCAAGCGGCGACACTTTGGTCGAATGCCTTGATGTATTACCTGCTGGGCCGAAGCGATAAAGCATGTGGTATTATTACGCGAAATGTGTTTATTATCGCCAGTAAAAGTATGAAATTATTTCTTCATACAATATTATTATTTTTATTTTTGATTTGCTCGAATGGGGCGGCAATTGGAAGCTTACATCTTACGCTAATGGGAGCTACAGTGAAGTTTGTCTGAATGTAAGCTTTATAAATGAGTTTGGTTTGAGTGCAGCTTTCTTTTTTGCAGTACAGCAGTTCCCAGCATCTAGCCTGAGTGCAGGATGAGGATGTACGGCATGTGTTTGTGGACGACCTTAATATAAAGTTGGATGGCTTGGCTCTGACTTATCTTCAGACTCGCGACTCAGCAATATGAGGCATTGGCGCAGAATGACGCGCGCATGCGCAATGTCGCGCAGCAAACGCTCTTTTGGCGCACGCAATCCCATGGCAGAGGGAGCCAGATTGGATGGCATCCCAGCGATAATGGTCAATAGATCATTGTACTTGTTGGCAATGTTGGCATTCGGCTCGAGAACTGTAGAAAATGTGTTAGCATAGTACAAGTATGTTGCTTATTAGCGGTTCCACTTACTGATGCCACCCATAGGTACGGGTGTGGTTGGTCCCAGTCCGAAAATGTTGCCTTCCAAAGATAGGACAGGGGGTCCGCCGCCCGAAGCCGACATCAGCTGCAACTGAGACTGCATATACTTGGTGTATTCCAACTTGGCCATTACCTGCTTGTACTCGTTGGCATATGCGACTGCATCCGTGGCCAGCTTCTGCTGCGGCGACGGTCCACTACTTGTATAAGGCAGCTTGCCTGGCCGAGCAGCTCCGAAGCTGGCAATTTTCGGCGCACTCAACGGGATGCGCGTGATTTCCACACAAGGCGGATGTGACGGCTTTGGCGGTTTTGTGGCACCGGAAGCAGTATTGGCATCATTTGCGTTATGCTGCTTTGTATTTGGCACGGCCGTCACCGTTATGTCGCTATATTTGCAACGAAAAGTTTCAATATCAAGATACTCCATTATTCCGTTCACTCTATTTCACGCTGCACAGTTTTTGATTTGCACAAACAAGTAGAAAGGACGTAAGGAGTTAAATTTCAAAGCCTACCTAGCCACAAATAAAATAAACACTGTTCACATAAACAAATACAAGTAGTTTGCTAAAGTTCGTTCAAATGGTCAGATCAAGATGTTGGCTGCATATCGACTCTTCTATCTGGTTTTACGATCAACAAATGAATTGCCTTATTATTCCTGAAGAGCTCCAAAGTATTTTTCTAAATTGAATTTCAAACTGTTTGAAATCTACAGGTCATTAGAGTGAAGTAATAATAAACTCTTTAAACACTATGCGCCTTTATTAATAATTTAGTTTTAAATGTTATTTTATACAGAATGAGAAAAATAGTCCTTGTTTCTAAATTTGTTATTACACTTAACTAAATATTTCATTAATTATTCATATTATTCTTGAAATAAGAAAATATGAAAATGCTGTTTAGCTCACGTTGTAGCTTTTGATGAAATTTTGATTGTATTTAATATACGAGTAGTTTAAAATATGCATTATGCGCATAAAACTTACGAATTAAAGAATTAAGAAATTTAACTCGAAATTGAAAGAAGCTCGAGAGATAAACTCTACGTGTAAATGCGGATTATTTCGCAATACAGTTATCACCATATTTATTAAAGGCTTATTTGACATCTTATAATGTTATTTCAAAGTTAATTATTTGGCAGGGTCAGAAATTAGTTAACATTTTTTTCCGTGGCTTCCAAGTAATAAGTTAAAAGATAACATCACTTTTTTCTTAAACACATTTATGTAGATTCCGTATTATTCTCGTTTCTGTAAAATGTTTGATTTAACTAAACTGATTATTATTTTCGAATTCACGAAGTTAATGTAAGTGATTAGCAATCATTTGATTTACATGAGTAATGGTTATCCGTCAACTTGCGTGCAATCAACATTATTGCTAATTTGTATGGCGCCAAAGAGCTTTAATGCTCTTGCGAGTTACATCGACATTTGTCATGGAAAAATCTTGATTTGATAAGCTTCGGACTAATTGCTACACGGAATCAAAGGCACTCATTAGCATATCATTGAGAACAATCAGCAATTAATACGGCAATCAATTGCAATTCAATTAGATGTTATAGTTGCAGTTCATTAAATCAATTGATGGCATTGATAACTAAATAAATACATACGAGTACATATATTCGGCATATAAGTACTTGTAGTTTATGTGTATGTGCGTTTTGATAATCCCCGATTTGTGTTTCAACTGTAGCGTAAGCCTATATGTACAGAAATGTAAAAATTTCTTGTAATCACGTGGCCATCTATCGAGTGCTCGGACCACAATTGAAAGTCAATTAAGATTCAATGAAAATCGTTAGACTGAACACGCCCCGAAACAAATTTCCGTTGATGTCTGGGGCGTTGCATAAACACACTTGGTTCACAATATACCTGATATGCAATACATACAATATATAAAGACCGTAAGGGGGTGGGGAGGGGAAGGGGGAGGGGTTAACTTTCTACAATATTTCCAAAAGTATTGAACTTTTCTTCTACTTCACGCTGATTTACGCAACTTTCACGGCTACAGCAGCGCTAACAAAAACCACAAGTTGCATATAACAAAAATTACAACAACAACAACAACAACGGCGAACATTGAACAGTGAACAACAAAAACAACAAACACAACAACGAATTCATGTCTTGGAGCAAGCTTGCATCGAAATGAAAAGCTCAATGGCTTGGCCCACGCAATGCAACGGCATCGGCAAAGAGTGAAAAAAGAAACCCTTTAGGAAATCTTTACAAAATGTTGCAGCGGCTGCTGCATAAATCCGTTTTAAAATCGCCAACCAACAATAACAACAACAACATCAACTGCACCTCCAACTACACCAACGCAATGGCCCGCGGTTGAAGGCGCTGTGCGGGCGTTGGATACGATGCGCTTTATGTCGCACAGTGGGCTTCATACTGTTTGAGTGCACTCAAAATAAAAGTGTGAAAAGAAAAAGTGAATAAAATACCTATTCCATATTTAAAATATCTATCATATAACTAACTCTTTAAATTTTAAACAATTTTATGAAAATTACTTAAATGACGTTCTGTTTTTACTAAATAAATAAATGAATAAAAATAAATACATTTTTGACAATTTCATAGAGAGAAAGTAAGAAAGCCAGAAAGACATATAAGCAAATTTTGGATTTATTCGATTTTAAGTTCAAATTGATTTATTAACTTTATTGAATTTAAAATTATTCACAATCCAAACTCAGCGTTAAATCTTCTGCTGTTTTTTCCTTTTTCTTTGCGAAGATATCCTGGAGTTTCAATGATCTTTAATCATTTTATTTAAAATGTATACATATAGTGTGGAATTTGATTGAAAATTAGTTATGTATTTTATTATCTTATTTTTTCGACCGTGAGAACTTTTGTTAATATGTTGACAAAGAACTCCTTTACAAATGTGTTAAGTTTGTGATATTTAGAAGGCTATTGTATTATATTGTATATATTATTGTATTATATATACATTAAAAAGCTGAAATGGGTAAAATTGTTTGAAAAAACTAAGTATTGATATTACTTTGCTAATAACTATGTACAGGGTGCGCCATCTTTTATGTCGGTATGTAAATATTGAATAACTTTGTCATTTGTGAACCGATTGACTTGAGTAGACCAGTGTTGAAAACCTCAGTTCAAGAAATAGTACAGAACCCAATTAATCGGTTGTTTATTTTCAAAGATATTCAATGTTTACATACCTACATAAAAGATGGCGCACCCTGTATCTATTTTAAGACACACGATCAGAAAAATACTCATTATGTAAAATACTTAAAATACGAACGCACTTTGAAACCATATCTGACTTACTTGCAATTTAGAAAAATGTTAAATTTTTCAGAAATAAATTTCCAAAAATTTGGAATTAGAGTTGAAAGAGTTTTTTAGCCTTTTTAGCGCAATCTAGATACAATCGAGAAAATCGTTTCTGGGCGTACTTTTGGGCTTTAAAAAATTTGTAAACCCATAGAGTAGTGTCAGAAAGCTTAAAATCAAGAATCTGCAATGAAAGAATTGAAAAAAATTTGTGCGCAAATTATTTACCTGTATGACCGTAACGTTTTTCAAAACTCCAACAAACAATTCGTTTAAGCAATAAATTTTATCGACATTTACTCAAGTATGTATATATAATATTTATAATAAGTTTGTAACGCTCCCAATCTGCTCCACAGTGCGTTACTTGAAGTGAACGACAGTATTGGTGGATATGGGTATGGGTATGGGTATGGGGGTATGTATTGGTATCAGAGTGGCTTGAATCGCAATCGCATCGACAGAGGCTGAGACGGGGACGGAGACTGCCACTGCGAAACTGGCGACTCTGGCTGCAGTGATTTTATTAATGAGTTTAAACGCACGCTTAACACGAATCAAGCCACCGATCTGATGTCAAGACTCGTGGAGTTCGTGCGCTATGCACGTTGGCTAAGACAAAGATTAGCCAGCTAGAAAGCTAGCTTGCCATGGGGGCTTCAGCGACTGATTTTTTTGCTTTTCGCTTGGCGTTGGCGGCGTTGGCAGCACATCGCATATCAAAATGCCACCTAAACAACAATATCACGGCAATCACTATAATGAACGACAGTGTGCCATACTATATAAAATTATAATTTTTTATTCAGGTTTCATTGTGAGCCTATGTGCTTTATTTTTATTATTATTTTTTTTTGTTTTACCAATATGGGGGCGCTCGAGAAGTGTCGCGCGCTCTGCTCGTGCTAACAAAAGCCCTTGAGTAACCGTTTTTGGCAACTCTTTTGTTTCGACCATACGATACATACATATATACGTATATACTTGCACATATATATATATTCGATATGGTGGTCTAACATACAATGCTATAAATGTCTTGAGTACGCCCATACATGGTCCTGGCGGGCATTCAACTACACATTTATTTCCTCTTAAGACTATCGTAAAATTAGCCTCAAATATTTGTGGTGCTATTAATCAAGTTCCTTAACTTATTGCTTTTTTGTTTGTTGTTTATTTGCAGATACAATTTTTCACCAAGTCGCAACAAATGAATGAATTCAGTTTCGTAGGTAAGTGGCATTTATACTCGTATTGGTAATCAATAATTCACATAATTGTACATAAGTATGTTTAAACAAACAAATGGCTCGTTTTATTGATTTCGATGTTATCTGGAAATTAAAAATATGTTGAATAGATTGTAAATATAAATATAATTTTTTTTATATTTTTCAACTCAAAAAGAAATATATTTGAATTTGAAAAAAAGAAAATAGTTAAATAAATAATGGTAAAAACCAATGAATTTTCCAGAATTACACTATTGGGGGAATTATAGTTGCTAATCCAGCCAGCTAGTAGAAGAAAATTCTAGAAAATGTATTCAGACTAAGTTTCACCTAAATTCTTTAAAAATATAATATAAATCGTAATAACAAATAGATGGATATTTAATAAGTGGATATCATGGACATGTAGAAAATATCAAGAAGATTATCCATTTATAATAATCTGTTATTAACCGAACATTTTAGCTTTCAATTAACAACAAATATTATAACTTCTATATACTTGTATATATAAAAATTCCGTGTCACGATATTTGTCCTCGATAGACTCCGAAACTACTAAACCATTAATATCGGTTAATATGGTTAAAAAATAGGATAGTTTTTATCTCAATCATTTATTATTTGGATACTTTAATCGCGCATTTTGTATTTTTGAGAAATGTGTTCGTATTATTTCATCAATATAGTTTGGATATGTACGTCAAAAGTAAGACTGAAAAAAAGTTCATATTGAAATATAACGTCGAATCAGTGTTAGATAGTTCTTTAAGTGCTATTTATAAAAATATAATTTATAATTATACAAAGAACCGATTAAAAACGCGTTTAAGTGATCTTTATGCACTAATTTACTTTTAACAACTTGACTGCCCAAA